TCAAGAGCTCCCCGCGCCCCCCCCCCAGCACCTCCTCCTTTCATTTCCTTCTCCTAGCTGCAAAGCAAAAACAACCAAAAACATACACAGTGTTTGGCGCCCTCGATGCAAGGAAACGCTGTGTATGTTTGGCGTTTCTTGTTTTTTGGGGTTTAGGATGCAGAGGAACTCTGCGTATGTTTGGTGGTTTTGGTTTGGGGGGTTTGGAAGTTCATGTGCTCCCCGCGGCTTCCCCCCCAACGCCTCCTCCTTTCCTTTCCTCCTCCTTGTTGCAAAGCAAGAAAACCAAACATACACAGTGTTTCGCGCCCTCGATACAAGGAAACGTTGCGTATGTTTGTTGTTTCTGGATTTTTGGTATGGGGTGCAAGGAAACACTGTGTATGTTTGGTTGTGTTGGTTGTTTGGGTTTTGGAAGTTCAAGTGCTCCCCGCGGCCTCCCCCCAGCACTTCCTCCTTCTCTTCCGGATCTCCAGAATCCAAAACACCAAAATAACCAAACACACATAATGTTTCCTTGCAGCCTAAACCAAGATACCCAGAACAACCAAACATACACAGCGCTTCTTGCACCGAGGGCGCCAAACACTGTGTATGTTTGGTTTTCTTGTTTTGCCACAAAGAGGAGGAACGGAAAGGACATGAGGAGGTGCTGAGGCGGAGGCCGCGGGGAGCACTTGAGTTTCCCAAGCCCCCAAACAACAACAAAAAACAAAGCTACAAATGTTCCTTGCATTGAGGACTCACCAGAACAGCAAACATACGCAGCGTTTCCTTGCACCGAGGGCGCCAAACACTCAGTATTCTCGTTTGTGTGTCACTACAAAAGAGGAGGCAGCGGAAAGGACAGTGAGGAGGAGGAGGATGGGCGAGGAGGAGGGATTGTGTTTGGAAAAAAAGGGGACGGAAGAAGACAAGGGAAGGATGATTCAGATTTTGGTGAATGTTAATGCGATCCAAGATAACATGTATGATTTTTTTGGGGGGCAATATATATATATATGTATATATATAGATGTAGCAATCCTCTTATCAACGTGCTCGAAAATACTCGGTCGCGGCAGGGAAACCCAGAAGCCCAATTCACTGGAAGAAAAATCCCCCCGCATGATGCTGCTCACCCAACCATGGAAGGAAACATATTCGCGCCACCCGCGGCCTCGGCGCCAGGCCCCATGCTCAGGTTCGCTGGTTTGGGCATGTCAAAAAAGCCTCAAGGCTTCAGTTTTGAACCGCAGTGGTTACCCCCATTGCACTGTCACAGGCCATGGTCTGGCCCTCACGAGAGCCCCCCCGCCCTTTATCTCCTCATATCGCCTCTCCTCCTCTTCCTTTTCCTCCTCCTCCTCCTCCGCCTCCGCCTCCTCCTCTTCCCCCTCTCCTCCCACTCCTTCCTCCTCGTCCTCATCCTCCTCCGCATGTCCGGCTGCAACCCTCATGAGAAATTGTTTCACATCCTCCCGCGCCCAGGGTCACAATATTCCGCTGGAGAAATAAGCCCCGAACTTCGCCCAGACCGCCCAATAAGAGAGGGAAACTAATTCAACGTCGCCGCGCGCGCACCGACCTCGCGCCAGCAGGAGTTTTGCGGGCGGTACTAGGCAGGCGAGTTTGAACACACTCGCGAATCAAAACGAAGCGCACTTGTCTTGCAATCCTCATGAGAAGATGCTCACATATCCTCCTGACATGAGACATGGCAATGACAGCGCTGAAAACACTGAAAACGCATGATAACGTCAATCTCCAATCGGTCACAACTATGGGTTCACTTCAGTTTCGAGGTCAACAAGGCGACTTTGCTATGTATGAAAACGTTGAAAGAAAACCAGCGCACGTTGACGTCAAAATCCAATCGGCCACCGCTAAGGGTTCACTTTAGATCCAAGGCCTTCTGCCGGATTCTGAAAGCGCATATTACTTTCAAATTCCACTTTGTCACCGTTAAGCGGTTACACTAATTTCCAAACCAATAAAACCACTTGCCCATTGTGGACGATACAAAACTCGCCGCACGCGCGTTCGGGCGTTGCGCGTGCGCGACCGGGTGACCCACACGCGGGCGGGACACCGAAATCGGGTTGATCACCTTTTTCATAATCACTTTAGTTTGTAAGCAAACATGGCGACTTTTGCATTGTGGACAATGCAAAATTCGCCACGCGCGTCCGCGCGATCGGGTGACCCACGCGCGGGCGTGCCACCCGAAATCCAAATGGTCACCGCTAGGGCTTCACCATGGTTTCCAGGCCAGCAAAGCGACTTTCTATTCTTGAGGATCTTGATAAAACGCTGGGCAACTTCAAAATTTCACGCGTCCACATTTCGTTTTCCAGACCAGCATACCGACGTTTCCATTGTGTAGAATAACAAACTCGTCACGCGCGTCTGCGCACGCGCCCCCGCGCGCGTTGCGATTTGTGGGTTGTCTACAGAATGGAAAACAACCAGGTTGGCCTGGAAACTAGAAAAAAAAACCCTTGAACGGTGATCAACCGGATTTCGGATACCCGCCCGTTCGGGGGTCACCCAGTCGCGCGCGCGCGCCCAGACGCGCGCGTGGCGAATTTTGAATTGCCCACAATGGAAAGATAAACGTGTTGGCCTGGAAACCACAATGAGACGTGAACGGTGACCGGTTCGATTTAGAAACCAACATTTGTTTTCAATGTTTTCAAGAATAGCAAAGCGAAACTTTGACTGTTGCCGATCGGATTTTGAAATTAACGCACGCTTGTCCCTCCTTATCCTCCTCCTTTTTTCTCCTCCTCCTCCTCCTCCTCCTCCTCCTCCGCTCCTCCCACACCTTTCCCCCTCCTCCTCCTCCTCCTCCTCTGCCTCCTCCTCCTCCTCCCCGTCCTCTTCCTCCTCCTCTTCCTCTCCCTCCTCATTGGCAGTGCTAGTGCAAGGTGTGCAGGGTAGACCCGGGTGCATGTCTCCATGGGGGAACCCGAACATTATCCAGCCCGCCCAACAATAGAGGGAAACGAAACTCCGCCGCGACGAGGAGGTTTTAGAACCAGTGATATTCACTGTCGCGAGCATAAGGGGGCAAATCAGATTTTAAAAAAGCATTCGGCCAGACCGCAGCAGCCATGTGCAACGCAGCGCGCCTGTGTTCACCACAGTGCACGCGTGCACCGCAGCGCCTGTGCACACCACGGCGCCTGAATACACCACAGCATCCGCGTGCAAAGCAGCACTGGTGTACACCACAGCGCCTTCATGACAAACAGAAAGAGCATGTCGGTGAGGATCTGCTGCGTAGGCCTTCAAAAGGGCCCCACGACGGCCCCAGAAGGTCTCCAGACGGCCTAAGACCTCTGCGATGTCTGAAGACTTCCTCTCAAGGATGGTTTTCATCCAGACAGAAGACGGCAAAAGATCGAGATCCGAAATTGGGCGATCGAATTGTTTCTACTGTTTTCCGTCCTTTCGCAGCCTTCGGCGTTCTCGTCACCGCATGGCAAGGCCCCTCTCGAGATTCGGGTCCAACTCGGGGATCTGCTGACCCGGGTCAATCAAACCTGGGTCAGCAGAACACCAAAAAACTGCAATGCAAGAAGAATAAACTGCAACGCAGGGCTTCGCAAACCCGGGTCAGCCAGAGGGAGTTCTTCGCAGGATACTGCAGGATCCAATGCCCTGGCTGATGCCCGTTTGCATTGACCCCTGTCTCGTTGGCTCCGACCAGCGCAACCCAAACATGTTCGGGGGAGCCGGCCGCAGGTCCAGGCCACGGCGGAGGGCGTGAAGAGCCACACTTCGCGGAGCTCGAAGGACCAATGTGCACTTAGCGAAGCGCCTAAGCAGCCTGGTACTTACGCACACACATACATATACAATAAAATGTGGAAATATATGTAAAAACTAAATTGTGTATATATATGTACTCCCCAATCAGAGCTTGCACTGAAAGGGTCCGAGCGGGAATTGGAAAATTTGGCGAACATTTCCCGCCGATGTTGGTAGCGAGCTAGGTTCCCGGGTTCCCGGTTATCCGTTCTGGGCCGATTTCGGTGGGTTCTGGGTTCCCGGGCTCCCGGGTTCCCGGTCGATCTCCTCAGCGAAAGCCTTCCACATATTGTTGTTTGTTTTCTGGTGTCATGTATATACACCATTGTTTATGTTTAAGTATACATATATAAGTTTAGAACCCGTATGTAGTTTACATGCGAGTTTATGTGTGTGTGTGTGTCCGTGCGGTGCCGCCGTGCGAGCTCTGATGTTTAAACTACTTGTGATGGGTGTAGTGACGCGTGTAAATCCCCACGCGGCAACTCGACGTGCTTCTTACTTTCAAAGACGGGCTCGACATTGCGAAACCAGTTAAGATCCGAGTGAGGAGTACGGTCCTTACGGCTGTGCGTTGAGATTTCGCCGTCCAAAGATGCTACACAATGCTGCTCTTGATGCGTCAAATCGCCGGTTGCTTAACCACCTTCAGGGAACCGGGAACTTTGGCTGGGAGAAGATACTTGCTGATTGTAAAATTATCGCTTTGGCTGCAAATAGACCCGCACGCCTCATTGATCCCTGGACTCGCAAAAAACAACCTGGAACGAGAAGCTTGTCCCGGTGATCGTGTCGAGAGCCCATGGGACTCACATCATGAACAACTCATAATGTCCATGGTGTGGCGTAACCGATCTTGGCCAGGCCAATCATGGGCCTAAGATAGCTGTAAAGATGTCGTACACAACGGTCCTCGCCTCAGAGTGGCCTGACCAAGATAGGCATTGGTATGTAAACGGCGCACCCTCCAAAGAGGAGGCTTCAGTCTCAAGGTTCGCCCTCTCCCCGCTCCTCTCCTCCTCCACCTCGTCCTCCTCCTCCTACTCCAATCGACCGGGTGGACCTCATAACTCATAACAGTACCGAGAATATCCGGCTCAGACGCACGGCTGCGAACCGCCGTGAATCTAATGGCAACAATCCCCGAGTTGGAAGTCAAGGTCGTGAGTGCAGACTGCTCCCTGATCTGCACATTCCCCCAGCACCTGCGAGGAACGGGGTATGCGCCTGGAATCCCCAGAGCCCGACGCCAGAGGCCAGGAAGAAGATAACAGCTGCAAGCCACGCGATCGCGACGTTCTTGACAGCGGAATTATCAACTAAGTCCTTGTCGCCAGCCAGAGCGCTTCGAAACCCAAGGACAATCATGATGTTGGTGCACGTCAGCAGCGACTCGGCTGTACCATGTATCCAGTCACTGTCGGCCAGAATGAGGCCATACGTTGATTTCGAAATAATGCCACTGGGTATCGTGCATATGACGAAAGTTAAAAGAAACGCAAAACCAAACAACACAAGTGGTGGCGTATTGTTGCCGCGGTAACCTAAGAAATATATGAAACACAGATACGGTAATAATGACCACTGGAATAATACACCATTGATATTGCCAAGCTGGTCTGAGAAAGACGCCAACAACGACGTGTCAAATAAGCCGCCAGCTTGTGCAGGATCCATGTGAGATGCAATATCCTGTCCTGCTGCAAGATCGAATGCCTGCGCCACGCATATCAGGTTATCGAACACAACATGCGCTGTTACATCCATGCGTGCAAGTTCCATGACAACAATTACGCACTGCAATTGTTAGTGGTCCCTTCAAACTGTTCAAGCTCTCGCTCGATGCTCCCCGCGCGTATGTGTTATTTTTCATCGGCTGCCTCTCAAGCTCATGACAGCAACTCCCTGGAAACCACGGGAGACAACGAATCGCCTTCAAACACGGGACACCACCCCCTGGAATCCAAAAAAATCAACAATCTAGAACCCACCCACGACCACACCAATTTCAATTGCCCTCCCCCCCCTTTCCCGTGAACCCATTAATTACGCAAATGGCTTCGCAAATACTGAAGACAGAAACGATGATACGACACCATGGAGCAAACACTGACAGAACTGTCTTCGGGACCTCTCGAAATCCTCAATCGGACATTGTAGGGGCAAGACCAAAATTGAACGTGAGGTGCCACAGACGGGACATCGTGCAGTTTCGACCGTCATGAGAAAGCGGACGAGGCGAAACTGCGCAAGCATCTTCAATGGTGAGGGACGGCGGTGATTCGCCGCAAGCGTCTTCGAACCGCCGCCCCACGGTCTTGCCACAGGGGTGCCCCGCGTGCTAAATCTTTAGCGCTTTGGACCTTTACGAAATTCCCAATGGTGTCTCATCCTAACCCGCCGGCCGCGCGGAAGGTCCCGTGAAGACCCCAACGCGCACAGACAAGTGCCCCAGACTGCCGAGATGGCCCAATGTGGCATCCAAGATGCATCCAACACAGCCCCAAAAGAGACCAAGATGGCCCCAAGACAGCCCAAGGGTGCACTGAAGACGGCCCAAGATGGCCATCGACGGCCCAAGAGGCCCCCAGAGGCCTCCAAGAGGAGCTCTACGAGGCCAAAACCATTGAGTGCCGATGTGGTGATCAGTGCTTTTAGCGCTCGCGCCTGTTCGGGCTTCCGATGCTCCAAAACGGCCCCAGGGGCCCCCAAGATCGCCCCAAGACGTCAAATGAGGCCCTCAAGAGGCCTGGAAGACGGCGCAAGAAGGCCCCAAGATGGCCCCTCAGACGGCCCCATGACTTCCAAGGCGGCCCTCAAGCGCCCAAAGAGGAGCCCAATGCTACCAAGAGAGGGTCCCAAGACGGCCTTCGAAAATCAAACCTTCCCGAAGAGACACCTGGAGGCCCCCAAGAGACCCGCAAGAGGCCTCAGGAGGCCCCCTAAGAGACCCCAGGAGTTCCCAAAGAGGCTTGGAGGCCCCCAAGAGGCTCCAAGACAGCTCCAAGGAGACTCCAAGAGGCCTTCAAGATGCCTTTTCTGCGTCGCCCTACTTTTTCTCGTCCTCCTTCTTCTCCCTCTCCTTCTCATTTTTCTCTCCCAAAAGCCCCCCCAAACGGTTCCAGAGCGGCTGGGGGAAACGCGTAGTCCAATAGTTCCGCCAGGCTTCTGCCCAACATTTGGCCGCATGTGCGTTGGACGGTGATGAGTCGCAGTAGGCATCCTCGATACAAACAATTGTGGAGATGGCACAAAGGGTGCGAGAACATGTCCAAAGTGACCTCTCTCTCTCTCTCTGAAGGGTGCTCTCTCTCTCTCTCTCTCTCTCTCTCTGAAGGCAACCTTTTGACAGCCATCCGAGACCAGGCCGTCCCAAGGAGCCACCTAGAAGATCCCTGGGCTCCGATAGGGATCCTCGTTATCAGGGCACCTCCAGGGCTGCTCCCGGAACAGTTCGGACCAACACGTGGCAAGAACCTGACGGCATAGTGAAATGTGAAATGGTTTGTTTCGGTGTTTCTCGTCTTCAGATCCACCCCTGCGGCGTTCTGAGAGGCATCATATGCGCCGCCAAAAAATCACATCGGCGACGCATGTTCCCGCACATACGAGCCACAAGCGAAAGTTCCAACCACATCTCAGCATGGGCCGCGGGCAACAATTTTGCGGCAACCCTCTGACTGATCTTCGCATATGAAATGCAGACGGGAAACAACACAACACACATGTATGTGCTTACATGTCCTTGCCCACGTGTACACTTGAAGAGGATTGCCAAGACGACCACCCTTCGGGTGATACAGAGGCTGCGAGGTGGGTGGGAAAGAACCAATGGCTGGTAAATGCGATGGGTGTGATAACGACGATGTTGGTTGCGCGCCCTCGAGTTAGCGATGACGCGTGATGACGATCTTGCGCTGCGATGTAATGTTTCTATCGTCCCTGCTTTCTATCTCACAACCAATGTCACAATCAACCTCACTGTCGATCTCACTTTTGATCTCACTATCCATCCCATTCTAGCTATCTCATTATCGATCCCACTATCGACTTCACTATCGGTACCAAGGTGGGACACCCCCGGCCACCGATCGCCCAACGCGACGGAACACCGACAGCACTCCAACGGGACACCAACGGGACACCATGGCGGGACATCCCGGGTTATCTCGCGCCCACCGGGGGCGGAGGGGCGGTCCACTGCATCCGACGGCGGGTCATTCCTTTCGCGCACCCGCGCAGCTTCACCTCGCCCACACGCACGACACGAACACGAAGCCGAAACCGATTTCTCGATTAGGGGCTCTCCGTTCCACTGCGATCTCACCCCCAACCTCCGATATCTCTATACATATTCTTATACATGTACATATGTAAATACATGTGTATATGCACAGGCCGACACACGAGCGCGCATGGAAACGCAAACGAACACATGCTGTTCACCGAGACGCAAGTCGTGCAAGAGAAACTTGCCCATGCCACTTCAAAAACACTCTCGGCAATGGCATCCTTACTGAATCAGACTAACCAACCCATCCTGGGAATATCTGGTATCTGACACCGACATCAAAATCAAGTACACCGCACCGGGCAACAAAACTAGAAACTGAACGGGTGAGGTGGCGGCTTGCAAAATGATGGGTTGTAAAATTCTGCCTTGCCTGTCTGGCACTCCGTGATAATCTTCGACCCAATTTTGGCACACCGCCAACCTCATACTCTCCTGCCAGGCCAAATCACTCAAGTGCAACACATCACCACGAAGTCGCGATCGATTGCTACATAATGCGCATCCGCATAGCAACATGCCGAACAACTACTGCAGGGCCTTGTTCACGAATCGCATTCAGGCCCCGTACGCTTTGAGCGCCAAGCGTGCCAACACATGTTCCGTGCTGATATGAAAGACACGCGCTAGCGGGCATACGGGACCGACTGCACTGGAAAGTGCAATTCCATTATAAAGACGGGCTAGACGCGTGCGTACAGCATAGGTAGATGCAAACGCAAACACGCATTCGATTCGAATGGACATGCTCGATACTCAACATGATACGCGTCGCAAGCACCTCGAAACCTCAACCACCAGACCTCGGAGCCATGCCCCCATACCATGTTATCAATAGACTCTGGAAACAACACGGTGCACTATCATACACATGATCCTCCTGATACACATTGGACAGGCGACTTCAAGATAACCTGCTGCCGTTGGCCGCCACATCATTCGAAAAGACCACAATCCAATCAACTCGCGTTGCAAGTGCTGTAACACAACCACCGAGTGCAACAGCTCGTCAACCACCAAAAGTACGGTTGCAACTAGAAGGCCATATGCGTTGGGTGCCTGGACTCGTGCAGACAAGATTTGCTAAAGCCGTCGACGCCGCTGCCTCGTTCACCTTCCTGGAGGACATCCTGGTTTCTAAGCCCAAATATCCATATGTTCCTTGGGCGACCGATCTTCCTGACTCACTTCCTGATGCGGCGGCGATCCTGTTTGGGAAACACGGGATCTACATACTGCGGATGGAATGCGGCAAGACGAATTGAGTGGCCGATACACATTGGCCCCTGCAAGACTCTGCCCAGCCGTGCTCCCGATCTCAGAGAAACCGCCACTCTTGCGGAGGCCGCTCTCAAAATGGTCGGCACTCTGGCCTCTATTTCTTTAGCTCGTGAGGCGGAGAAGAAGAGGGGTGCCAACAATGGCGGCATTGCGCCAGCTCATGGAACCGCGGAGCTGGCGGATAGACCACTGAGGGAGGAACAAGTGGGTGCGCTAGACCGTCGTCTTGGGACCCTCGGCTCCGCGAGCAGATCTAACAAGCAATGCAGTGGGGGTAGGGGAGAAAAACGGGCATCAACAGAAACTTTCGGAGATCAGCGATGATTTCTCGGATCGGCGGCTGGACCCCTCCTTGGCGCTCGGAGCGCGCCAGGGGCGGCGCCAGAGGCGCCGCCAACGGGGAGGGGGGGGCAGCGCAGACCTACGAAATCCGCAAGAAGCTCTGACATGTTCTGTTCATACAGTTTTTCCTTCTTCGAGGGGGGCCTCCCTATCCTTGGGAGGCCCCAGCACAGATCCGAGAACTCAGCGAGGAGCTCCCAAAGTTTGTGTTGATGCCCTTGTGTTCTTATTCGAGGGGGGGGGGCTCCCAAGGGGGCCCCAGCACACATCCAAGACCTCCGCGCGAAGCTCCCATTCTTCTGCTGTTGCCCTTGTGTTCTTCTTCGAGGGGGGTCTCCCTCTGCCCCAAGGATCAGGAAAGGAAGAGGGCAAGGATTCGGAGGGGCGGAGGGCCGGGGCTCGAGGGGCATTGACAGGTGTATGGCCCCAGCCATGGCACGCGGGGACCGTCCAGAGCACCGACGTTAGCTGGATCGCAGTGCCGTGGCCTCGCTGCTCGGATCGAGAGCCAAATAAACACTATAAGTATCGCCATTCGGAATTCCGCGCGGATGTCGCGCCCCCCCCTCCCTTCCTAATCCCTGGGGTGGAGGGAGCCCTCCCTCGAAGAACACAGTACTGCGTGAGCAAAAACTTTCGGAACGCCCCGCTGGCGGCGCATCTGGCGCCGCCCGCGCAGATCCAAGACATCCGCGTGGAGCGTCGAAAACTTCTGTCTATGCAGATTCCGCCCCTGGACTGAAGCAACCGCACTCGAGTCCGCTGGTCCCCCACAGGAAAAGAGACAGACCGATACCGATACTTCCCAGGTCCTCCAGGGATGCGTTCTGAGCAGGATTGCAAAGCAAATCCAACCGCCCGAGAAAGCGAAACCAAACAATCGCTGTCTCCCCTGATGACTGCCCCGACCGCGCATGAGAGCGACCACTGCTCCGTCACAGCTCCTGGCCCCGCCTGCTGGAACTGCCGCGCTCAGGTCCGCCGGTCCCGTTGCCCCGACCTCGCCAATGACAGGGGATATGTCGACCCTATCCCAGGCCTCGTGGGATCTTCGAATGAGACAATCATCTGAGGCTCAACCCTGAGATATACGACGGGGGGGCGTCCACCCTCTACAGGGGTGCGTCCAAATAGCCCCCTTGGGATGTTTCCCTCTTTTTCTGCGCTGAGCGGCTTCATTTAGAAAAAGGAACAAGCATAAACATAAACTGTTGGCCCTGCGAGCGGATTTCTTGGATCTGCGCTAGGCCCCCCCTCCCTGACGCGCGGCGCGCGCCAGGGGCGGCGCCGGAGGCGCCGCCGGGGGGGGGCAACGCAGATCCAACAAATCCGCGAGGAGCGCCACAAATTTATGTTTATGCCGCTTTTTCTTCTTCGATTATTTTTCGTCGAAAAGTCAGGGGCTGGGGGAGCAAGCTCGCCTGCGAGAAGCTGCACAAGCACAACCGCTAGCAGCTCCGCGCGGACTTTCTGTGTCGGACGTGCGGCCCCCCCCACTCCCCAGGGGCGCCTTGCGGCGAGCCAAGGACGGCGCCGCGGGCGCCGGCCGGCGCCGAGCCCGAGAGGAGCCGCGCGGAACTCCGAAAGCAGGTGTTTACGACACAAGTGCTCCTCGCTCTTATCGGCGGCGAACGCAGACAACGACGAAGACGACGACGACGACCACGACGACGACGCCGACGACGACGACGACGATGACCACGACGACGACGCCGACGACGACGACGACCTCCAGGGGTCCACGTTCGAACAAAAATTGCGAATCCTGGGGTCGGGGGGGGGGAGGGGGCGCCGGCTGCGTGCGCACCTGCACCGGGGGGCAGTGAGACGGAGCAGGCCCTCTCAGAAGGCGGCGGGGCTTCTCCGACGCCCTCGCGCCTTCTGAGAATCGGGGAAGGCTCAGAGCACTTCTCAGAAGGCTGGGGGACTTCCGAGCCTTCTGAGAAAGGACTTCTCCTTCTCATTTCCCCCCCTCGCTCGCCGTCGATCTAAGACGAAGCCAAGACAATCACAAAACAAGACAGGGACAAATCGGAAAACTCTGAGTTCTGTCGGCTCTGGAGGATGTATCGGGCGCCGCGGCCTTCTCAGAGCGTTCCGGAACGCTCCGAGATAGAGGCCTCCCAAATGGACGATGTATCGTCGATGCGGCGCGATCCTCCGACCCCTTCTGCTCGGACTCCATCTGGGCGGCCCAGAGTAACGCTCTGGAACGAGTTATTCCTGTCCCAGCATCGCCCGACCCTTGATGCTCGGGATCGGAGGCGAGCCCGAGGCCGCGGGGAAAGTGAGAAGAGGTGGGCCTTCTCAGAAGGTTCGGAAATCTCCCGGCCTTCTGAGGGATGTTCCAATCCTCTCCCGAGGAAGCAGAACACTCCTCAGAAGGCTCAGAGGGCTTCTGAGAGGTAAGACGCAGCCGGGGCGAAGATAAAATCTGACGATGATGAACTCGATGATCTCTGATATTCGTCGGCTCTGGAGGATGTCTTGCGAGCACCGCTGCCTCCACAGAGCCATTCTGGATAGCTCTGGGAGCGTCCTGGCATGCTCAGGAAGGGATTGCTCCCAGTCCGGGCCCCGCCCGCGGAGGGCCTTCTCCTTCTCCTTGTCCCTTTTTTTGTTTTTAGACTTAAGACGGGTGTGCCGCCCTACCGGGGGATTTTGGGCGAAACATAAAACACACCAACAAAAATACCCCGAAATTGAGAAAACTGGACAAACATCGTCCCCATATTATGTTTTGGCTACTTTGGGATATACCTCCTGTAGAGGGACAGGACAGGCCAGACTTCATTTTAGAACCCAACCACGTTTTAAAAACAAAAGCAATGTTATTGTTCTTAGAATGTGAGCCGATGTACTGAAAACAAGACAGTCGCAACAAGAGATGTTCTAAGAACTTTCCGTGCCAACCACGAAAGGTTCTTGGATCATTCTGTGGTGGGCCTGTAGGCAAGCCTGGACGCTTCGCCACTGCTTGACTTTTCCTCCTTCTTCCCCCCCCTCGCTCGCCGCCGCCGCCGAGCTCGCGCCAGCGCCGCGGCCTTCCCAGAACGTTCTGGAACGCTCTGAGAGCCTTCTGGAACGCCTGGGAACGGATATTTCCTCGTCCTGGCCCCGCCCAAAGAAGGCCTTCTCGTTTCCCCCCTCGCTCGCCGCCGACTCCCACCTCCTCTCCCAGCTCCCGGTCTGGGCCCGCCCCTGCGTCTGGGCGAACCCGGCCGGCACCCCGACCCGAGCCCAGCCGCACGGGCGATCGCCCTGGTTGCCACTGGCAGTCAGCTCGACCTCCCAGGGCAACTCCCTCTTACCACCCCAACGACAGAGAGTCGGCGGCGAGCAGGGGGGGGGGCGGAAGTGAGAAAGAGGAGGCCTTCTCAGCAGGCGGCGGGGCTTCTCAGAAGGCTGAGAAGCCGCCTGTGCCTCTGGGGAAGGCTTGGGGCACTTCTCGGAGGGCCGAGGGACTTCCGAGCCGTCTGACAAGGCCCGCTCCTTCTCACGACAGCCCCCCCGACGACAGCCCCACCCCCTTCTCGGGCCGAGCGAAAGGGGGGCGATTGGGAAAAAGGGGGTTACGCAATCTACTGCATACAACTGGTTTCGGCCCCGCCGCCGGGCCCGTTCCTGGATACATGGGCGCTTCCGGCACCGGGGAGCGCCGGGACAATCAGCTACGTGTGCTGATTCTCAAGCCCCCCTTTGCCCAGTCATCTGACCCGGCCCGACCTTCTCACAGCCCCACTCCCCTCTCCTTCTCGCTTCCCCCCCTCGCTCGCCGCCGACGGGGGTGCGCGCCCAGGCAAGGCTCCTGCCGGCCAGGCGCCGCGCCCCAGCAGGCGGCCAGGGGCCGCCGCGTGGGCGAAGGCCGCCGCGCCGCCCAGGGCGACGGGCGCGAGGAGCCACGCCTCCCACGACGACGACGGCGACGTCGACGCCTCCCACGACGACAACGACGACGACGACGACGATGAGCCCGCGCGCCTCGACGCCGACGCGGACGCGGACGCGGACGCGGACGCCGACGCCGACGACGCCGCCGCCGCCGCTTGCGGCCTCGCCCCGACGCCCGAGATCGCAAGCCCCTGGCTGTCTGCGGGCCTCGCATCCGGAGCAAGGCGGGCCGGGCATTCCGAGCCCTGGCGTTAGGTCGGGCATGTCCCCCTACAGTACTCCGTGTTTCTTAATAAGCGTCGGGGGGGCGTCACCCCCGCCGACGGCCCCTCATCGACCCTCGTCGCTGGCAGCCACCGCGAGCCAAAGGCGTTCCGACCCCGTCGCGGCGCGACGACTAGTCGAGGTTCACCCTCGTCGGATGGGTACCTCCCCCCAACACTTACTAAGAAACCGAATGTAAGGAACCCAGAAAAAACGTACGCGCCCAACCATGTACATGAACACGGCTGCTCGATCCGCAAGACCGGCCGCGTGATACGAAATGCGCGCGCTGCGTACTCTCGAAACCATTGTGGATTCATGTGCGTGTACGTCCTTTTTCGCTCCTGATACAGGCGGACTTGAGACGAAAGAAAAATAATAAAACAATCAGCAAAAATAACAACATATAGTCAAATAGTCGTCCCCAGACTACTTTTTTACTGTTTTTGAATGTTCCTCCTGTAGAAGGACATGCCCGACTAAACCCTGGTGTGGGACGACCCGCCCTCTCGGGTCCGAACGTCGCCATCAACGGGCGAAGGCAAGACGATAGGCGGGTTCTGAGCAGACTTGGAGAGACCCCGCCCCGCGAAGAGGGAACGCCGAATGCTAACGCTGAAACTCTTCATACCAAATATGCGCGACTTGCACTTCCCACACCAAGCACGCCGCGACGATGCCCTGGCTGGCCCGGACATCACCGCGGCACGGTTCCCATGCCGCGCCCGGACGCCGAGCGAACTCGAAGAACTCGCCGTCCTCTGGCTCACCTCATCCCCGAAGAAATCATATTTGAGCCACCGACCCGAAAGCGCCACACCCCGGACCCCTCCCGGGGTGCCTCCTGACCAGAACCTCGGCGCGAATCCAGCGATGGCGCCGAGGGGAGGGCCTCCCAGGAAGCCCAAAACGGGGAAAACGGCGGAAGGGCAGCGGTGTGGGTACCTTCTCCTACAGTCGGGCCGCTGAAAGAAGAAACGCTGAATAAGGAACGAAGCCCCTTCTTGGCCCCGTAACTCCGTGCCCCAGGAGGGCGAGAGGAACAGCACTGGAAGAACCTGGGGAACATCAAGCCCCTTCCGAACCCAAACAGTTCCTCATTCCAGCGTCTTGACTGTACCCCGACCCGAGCCCCGGACCGGAGGCCCCGCCGCCCCGCCCCCGCCGCCGCGGCCCCGCAGCACGCGCGCAGCAGCCGGGCGGGCCGGGCCCTCCGCCGGCCCGCCGCCATGGCCCCGCCGCGCTCGCGGGGGCGCGCCCCGATCGGCCCCCCTCGCGGCGGTGCTGCGGCGGCCGAGGGCACCGGAGCACGGGGAGCCTCGCCCTCCGGGCGTCCACCGCCGCGTCTGTTTTGGACACTGCGCTTCGATGTTCGTCGTGCCCCCCCCCTCAGGAGGGAAAAAACACACGGACACAGTCAATCATCGATTCCTTCGAAAATATAGGAAAATATGGGAAGCGGGGGGGAAGACAAAAACCCAGAAAGTATAGGAAAATATAGGGGGATCCTGTTGTTTGTGTGTATTTATTTGTGTGTCCCAGGGCCCCTTCACCCCCGCCCTGCTGCTGCCCTCCTCTCTCCGACGCCACGGGGCGCCCACTCGAACCAGTGCATTTCCACCGCCGCTGGCCAGACCCGTGGCCGGGCCCGGGGGCGGCGTGTGCGCCCCTCGGGCTTGCCCAGGAGAGGCGGGTACGCATCGCTCCTGGGCCCGGGAGGGGCCTGGCCGGCGGCGGTGGGCGTGTGCCGATCTCGTCGCCCCGGTTCTGCCCAGACGCCGACATCGGACGACCTACCAAAGCATCCCAACCTGGCCCGAAGACCCAGCTGTCGGGTTAAGGGGGGGGACGTGTTCCACATGCTGTTTTTTTCCCAACCATCCTGTGGTGTTGGGTCTTGGTTTTGAAGAGACGGTCCCCGCGTTAACCTTCCCCCTCCCCCTCCTCCTTCCTCCCTGCGTTTCACCCACCCAATACAGCGTTTCGTGGCCCCATGGGGAGCTCCACCGCAGGCCTCAGTGGCTGCGCCCGCATGCGTCCCCAAACCCAATTTGGCACACCCCGCACACGTTTAGTGGCCCCATTGGGAGTTCCACCGGAAGCGCCAATGCCACCGCCCGCATGCGTCCCAAAACCCAATTTGGCACACCCCTCACACGTTTTGTGGCCCCATAGAGAGCTCCACCGAAGGCTCCAGTGGCACCGCCCGCATGCGTCCCCCCCCCACACCTATTTCGGCACATGCCTACACGTTTCGTGGCCCCACAAGGCGCTCCACCGAAGGCCCCAGTGCAACCGCCCGCATGCGTTCCCCACACCCAATTTGGCACACCCCTCACACATTTCGTGGCCCCAGAAGGAGCTGCACCGAAGGCCTCAGTGCCACCGCCCGCATGCGTCCCCCATATCCATTTCGGCACACCCTTCACACGCTTCGTGGCCGCACATGGAGCTCCACCGAAAGCCCCAGTGCCACCACCCGCACCTTCACACGCTTCGTGGCCCCATGGGGAGCTGCACCGAAGGCCCCAGTGGATGCGCTCGCATGACGCCACCGCGCCCATTTCGGCACACCGCGGCACACCCCTCATACGCTTCGTGGCCCCATGGGCAGCTCCACCGCAGGCCCCAGTGGTTGCGCTCGCATGACCCCACCGCGCCCATTTCGGCACACGCCTCACATGTTCAGTGGCCCCATAGGGAGCTCCACCGCAGGCCCCACTGGCTGCGCTCGCATGGCACAACCGCGCCCATTTCGACACACCCCTCAAACGCTTCGCGGCCCCATGGGGAGCTCCACCGCAGGCCGCACCAATTTCGGCACACCCCTCGTACGTTTCGTGGCCCCGTAGGGAGCTCCACCGCAAGCCCCAATGCTGCGCTCACATGACACCATCGCAGCCATGTCGGCACGCCAGTCACACGTCTTGTGACCCCATAGGGAGCTCCAGCGCAGGCCCCACTGGCTGCGCTCGCATGACACTACCGCGCCCATTTAGGCGCACCCCTCACACCTTTCGTGGCCCCACAAGGAGCTCCACCGAAGGCCCCAGTGACTGCGCTCGCATGGCACCACCGCACCCATGTCAGCACGCCAGTCACACGCTTCGTGGCCCCATGGGGAGCTTCACCGAAGGCCCCAGTGGCTGCGCTCGCATGACACCGTCGCGCCCATGTTGGCACACCCCTCACACGTTTCGTGCCCCATAAGGAGCTCCACCGAAGACGATACCAACAAATGCGTTACTCACAACTGCATATGGTTGGGTCATTCGCCAGGACAACTTTCCATAGAAAAAATGTTTCCCGACGCCCCCTCCGCCCCCACACTGGGAACGGAGGGCAAATCCGCCGACCCCAGAGGCGCGTGCGACTCAATGGTGCGCCTGTCCACGGCCTCCACTGCGGCACCCCCAACCAAGAATTCCCGACACGAAGTCGACCCTGCCCCCTACCAGGGCTCCACCAAATCCCCACCAAGTCCGACCCCCGCACGGTCCTCGGAGCTTTGTTAATGAGACCCCCACCCGACGATTCCGCGCCCAGAACCGACCCTGACTCCCTACCAGGTCCCCACCAGGTCCGACCTCCGCACGGTCCTGGGAGCCCTGGGAGCCCTGGGAGCTTTGTTCTCGGGACCCCCACCCAACAATTCCGCGCCCCCACCGGACCTGACCTTCTACCAGGTCCCCACCAGGTCCAATCCCCGCTCGGTCCGCCCTGCCGTCGACCTGGTCCGACACCCCCACCTTGGCCTGGAACCTCAATTCCTACCCCCCCACACCACCCGACAACTTCGCGCCCGAAGCCGCCCCGCCGTCGACCTGGTCCGACACCTCAACCTTTGCCTGGAATCCTAATTCTTAGGGCCCCCCGCCCGACAATGTCGCGCCCGAAACCGCTCCGCCGCCCACCTGGTCCGACACCCCCACCGTGGCCTGGGATCTCAATTCTCAGAGCCCCCCACCTGGCAGTTCCCCGCCCGAAACCGCCCTGCCTTTGACCTGGTCTGGCACCCCCACCATGGCCAAGGACCTCTGTGCTCACGGCTCCCCCACCCGACAAACTGGCGCCCGAAACCGCCGCGCCGTCGACCTGGTCCGACACTTCCACTGGGCCTGGGACTTCGATTCTTAAAAGGCCCCCTCACCCAACAATGTCGCGCCCGAAACCGCCCCGCCGTCGACCTGGTCCGACACCCCCAGCTCAGCCTGTGAGTTCTTTAATTAAGGCCCTCCACGCGACAATATCGCGCCCAAAACGCCTAGCCGTTGACCTGTTCCACCGCCTGGGAACCGACGTCCTGGTGCCCCAGCGGGCGGTGGATATGGACATATTTCGGCCCCCGGGGGCCCGAATATGTCCATATCCACCGCCTGCCGAAGCTCCGAAAACTGACCCTCCAGGCAGTGGTCATGTATAAATTCCCGCCTCGGAGTTCCGACACCCCCACCGTAGCCTGGAACCTCAACTCTTGGACCCCCCACCCAGCAATTTCGCAACCGAGGCCGGCTCGCCGTCGACCTGGTCCGACACCCCCACCTTGGCCTGGAACCTCAATTCCTACCCCCCCACACCACCCGACAACTTCGCGCCCGAAGCCGCCCCGCCGTCGAGCTGGTCCGACACCTCAACCTTTGCCTGGAATCCTAATTCTTAGGGCCCCCCGCCCGACAATTTCGCGCCCGAAACCGCTCCGCCGCCCACCTGGTCCGACACCCCCACCGTGGCCTGGGATCTCAATTCTCAGAACCCCCCACCTGGCAGTTCCCCGCCCGAAACCGCCCCGCCTTTGACCTGGTCCGGCACCCCCACCATGGCCAAGGACCTCTGTGCTCACGGCTCCCCCACCCGACAAACTGGCGCCCGAAACCGCCGCGCCGTCGACCTGGTCCGACACTTCCACTGGGCCTGGGACTTCGATTCTTAAAAGCCCCTCACCCATAATGTCGCGCCCGAAACCGCCCCGCCGTCGACCTGGTCCGACACCCCCAGCTCAGCCTGTGAGTTCTTTAATTAAGGCCCTCCACGCGACAATATCGCGCCCAAAACGCCTAGCCGTTGACCTGTTCCACCGCCTGGGAACCGACGTCCTGGTGCCCCATCGGGCGGTGGATATGGACATATTTCGGCCCCCGGGGGCCCGAATATGTCCATATCCACCGCCTGCCGAAGCTCCGAAAACTGACCCTCCAGGCAGTGGTCATGTATAAATTCCCGCCTCGGAGTTCCGACACCCCCACCGTAGCCTGGAACCTCAACTCTTGGACCCCCCACCCAGCAATTTCGCAACCGAGGCCGGCTCGCCGTCGACCTGGTCCGACACCCCCACCTTGGCCTGGAACCTCAATTCCTACCCCCCCACACCACCCGACAACTTCGCGCCCGAAGCCGCCCCGCCGTCGAGCTGGTCCGACACCTCAACCTTTGCCTGGAATCCTAATTCTTAGGGCCCCCCGCCCGACAATTTCGCGCCCGAAACCGCTCCGCCGCCCACCTGGTCCGACACCCCCACCGTGGCCTGGGATCTCAATTCTCAGACCCCCCACCTGGCAGTTCCCCGCCCGAAACCGCCCCGCCTTTGACCTGGTCCGGCACCCCCACCATGGCCAAGGACCTCTGTGCTCACGGCTCCCCCACCCGACAAACTGGCGCCCGAAACCGCCGCGCCGTCGACCTGGTCCGACACTTCCACTGGGCCTGGGACTTCGATTCTTAAAAGGCCCCCTCACCCAACAATGTCGCGCCCGAAACCGCCCCGCCGTCGACCTGGTCCGACACCCCCAGCTCAGCCTGTGAGTTCTTTAATTAAGGCCCTCCACGCGACAATATCGCGCCCAAAACGCCTAGCCGTTGACCTGTTCCACCGCCTGGGAACCGACGTCCTGGTGCCCCAGCGGGCGGTGGATATGGACATATTTCGGCCCCCGGGGGCCCGAATATGTCCATATCCACCGCCTGCCGAAGCTCCGAAAACTGACCCTCCAGGCAGTGGTCATGTATAAATTCCCGCCTCGGAGTTCCGACACCCCCACCGTAGCCTGGAACCTCAACTCTTGGACCCCCCACCCAGCAATTTCGCAACCGAGGCCGGCTCGCCGTCGACCTGGTCCGACACCCCCACCTTGGCCTGGAACCTCAATTCCTACCCCCCCACACCACCCGACAACTTCGCGCCCGAAGCCGCCCCGCCGTCGAGCTGGTCCGACACCTCAACCTTTGCCTGGAATC